CCTCCTCTTCTTCCTCTTTTTCACCTCCTTTGCAAATGTGCTCGCACCACCAAATGATCACCACCTTGTGCATGTGTGTTAGCTTTTCACAAACATTTTCTAAAGGATTAGTCACTTAAATCACCACGCCACTCGATCATAGCAACGATGCAAAGTTAGATCACTCGAGTGGCACTAGATGACCGATATGCAAACAAGTTTGCCCCTCTTGATAGTACAGCCATCTGTCCTAAGCCCAGTCATAAACTTCTCTACACACCTATGACCGGTGAAATGAAATACCCTAGGTTATACCTTTGCCTTACGTATTCCATTCCCTCTCCTTCGATGTTGATGCAACACATGCACCAACCAATCACCAAATGATATGATCCACTTCATATCATCACGCGACCTTGTTGGTTCATCGATCTTGACATCACTTGCTTTTCACCATTGCCTTCGTCCATGGTCTCCAAGTCTTGCTCAAGCTTCACCGCCATGTGGTCCATCACTCCAAAGCCTCCAACTTGCCCTTCACACTTGCAACCGGTCCATGAAGCCAAGTCTTGTCTTGATCTTCTCCACCTTAGTCATATGACTCCATGTCATGTCTCATATGCAATGAGCTCTTTCATCACATATGTGAGCTTTGCACCAAGTTCAAGCCATCTAACCTTCATGGCATGTATTGGTCACACTCATGTACTTATGAACTAATCACTTATGTATCTCACTTAAACACATTAGTCCACCTAAGGTTGTCACTCAATTACCAAAACCAAACAAGGAGCTTTGACCATAGAACAACCCACTATGACTAGGGTGGGCTGAAGACGTCAGATACGAGACCCAACAGAGATGGAGTACTTCATCAAACTTGGTATGGACAAGCAACCAGATGTATGGATCTTGAAGACCGAGATATAATAGGAATATCGATTTTGTACGTAGATTTCCTTGTAACGATCTAGCAAACCTCTCATGTAAAGTGATCGGGACTCTATCTATAACCCTACCTCCTAGGTTATATAAGGCGGGGTATGGAGCCCCCGATCGGGATCCATGTCATTGATCATACAACCCTAGGCAACTAGACATCGGTGCCCCTATAAGCACCGAGCATACGAGATAAAAGATCATCTTTCTACTGGACATAGGGTACCCCATACCTAAACTAGTATAAATTTGTGTCCCGTGTGCTACCCACATGATTCCCTATGCGTGATACACTAATCTTCATCGCCGGAGTCGATTCCTCCAACACTCCTCTCAGCCAACCACTAGCTTATTTCACCATACTATTTCATGGGATCTCTGATCACATAGAATAGGTTCTACTAGGGTATGACTTCACATGAGTATCAAGCTCATCTCCCTCGATGCACCATCAATCACATTATGTGGTAGTCCCTTTCTAAATTGACATGCCAGATTCTTAGACACATGGACATAGACCAACGGCATCACTCTGGAGTTTCTTAGCTTTCTAACAGACTTCAACCGCCACTTTATATGCCAAGTTGACTTCATGTTGTCCTTAGAATTATTCGCTTTGATGATCACACTGTTTGATTGCCATAGTTCATGGAAACGGCTAGTATATGTTTTTCAACCACCAGCAAATCATAAGGAGTTCAAGAAGCAATTCAACATCAACAGTGACAATGTCTAATGATGTGAATTCTGTTTCCAATGTTGACCTTGTCAAGATAGTCTGCTTGCAAAACTTCTATGAAACAGTGACACCTCCAAGTGTAAACGTTGTTCACTTGTGGCACAAATGCCATATTCAATAAGCTCCTTCATCTTCACTAGTTGAGCGCTTGCATCACCCCTTCATGGCTTTTATGTCTTGCTCAACCTAGTGTGTGGGTGGACTAAACAACTCTTCATCTCACATAAAACACATTAGTCTATCTAAGGTTGTCACCCAATTATCAAAACCAAATTGAGACTTCCAAACCCCTATGATGCTCGACCAGGTGCATGGCAAGAAGCAGGTCTTGGCCGTCTTCCACGGTACAATCGTGAGCATGGAGGTCGACCCCAAGATGCGCCCGTGCCCATCCACTATTGCCTAGAACCTCGACCGGATTGGCTGACCTACTTGATTCTCAATGCGCGAGTCGCACACCCGGCCCTCATGCCCAGGACTATTTGGCAAGCTGTGAGTGAACCACCCAACACCAACCTCATTCATGTCCCTCGTCTTGCACGCCCCATGTGGATGGCCCCAAGCAAGGCAGGCAGGAGCAAGAGAATGGTGTCACCAACCTCAACCCCAACACACAGCACGCAGGAGCAGGCATCCAAGTAAGAGGGCCAGGGCCAAGTAGCAAAACGTAAAGGTAACAAATGTGGCATGGCATACAAGGAAACGAAAATAAATCTAAACTGTTATCTGGCACAAGTTAGAATGATACGGTCTCCTAGATTACACTTTGACCATTTATTTGCTTTATATTATATTATTTATGCTTATAAACTTATAATCATTGGATAGTATAATTCTCTACAAATCTAATCATATAAAGTTTGTATTATAATAGTTAGAAAAATTTAGCCTAATTATTGGTCAAAGTTTTAAAAGTTTAAATCTTGATATGCGTGTGCGCCAGATAAAATAGAACGGAGGTAGTAGTATTTAAGAAACTCATATTGTTTAGGCCCCGTCCGCTTCGCTGAAAAAACAAGCTGAAACATTATTCTGACTTATTTGTTGTGAGAGAAAAACACTGTTTCGGCTAAAAAGATAAGCCGAAAAATACGAATTATAAGACAAGCGAACAGGGCAATTCTCATTTTTCAAGAAGTCAAATGAATTGAAGTTTGACCAAAGTTATAAAAAAAGTACTAGCATTTATAATGTAAAATAAGTATCATTAGATTAATTATAAACTATATTTTCATAATATAAACCTATTTGTGACATAAATGTTAATATTATTCACTATAAATTTAGTTAACATTGAGGTAGATTGACCAATACTGAAACAATTCCTATAGTTGTATATTTTTTTAGGACGGAGGAAATACAAGGGATGATTAAAAGTTTCAGCCGTATTGAAGGAATTTTATTGTATTCAATTCGAACCCTAGGTCATGGTTCAGGAAAAAAAGAGGCTCATAAAGTGCGAACGAGAAAGGACTAAGTTGAAGTTTTCAGAAAAAAGGGCTTACGTTGGATTATCTCTTTTATATTATGGAAAGACTAGCGCCCGGACGTCTGGATGTTCGCGCCTGCTCCACCCTGGTCACTCCAATTCGTGCATTGCCCGCGTCAGCTCTGCTTCCCACGCCCACGTTCGGACCGCTCCCTACCACTCCACTGCCCACGCCACCCGGATAGCTCGGCCCCATCTCTTCCACACTGCCACCTCACCGACCTCTTCCACACCACTTCACGCTCACCTCGTCCACACCGCTTGGATGACTCCCCTGCCTCTTCCACCCCGATGTCGTGCGGCCTACGTCTTCTTCCCACATCGACGCCGCCATGGCTCCCACGCTAGCTCTGTCTTCCTCACTCAACAACCCTACATCCAGATCTACTTTCGCAACACTCAGATTAAACAAATGCAACATACGTCTGAAACATATGAAACATTTGGAACATACATTTGCAACATAACCATTACAACATATGCAACATCCAGATAAAACACTTGCAACATGCGTCTGAAAACAGATGAAACTTTTTTTACAAACTCTTGCAACATACATGTATAGCCATTACAATATGTGCAACATCGAGAAACTACCATTGCAACATCCGTATAAAACATCTGAAATATATGTCTGAAATATCTGAAACACTTGAAACATGCATTTTGCAACATAGGGAAGGCCGAGGCCGATCGATTCCAGGCATTGGGGTGGAAGCCAACGGCGAGCGGCGGTGTGTGAGCGCCACCAGTACCAGCACCAACATTAGCGCGCGAGCACCACCATCATCAGCACCACTAGCATCGGCCTTTGGCTCAGCCGGGCAGGCGACTCGCGCGATGGATGGGAGCAGGTTGCCCGCGCGACGGGAGGGAGCAGGCTGCGCGTGCGACGGGAGGGAGCGAGTGAAGCGGATTGGGGCGGCAACAGCGAGGGGGGACGCGGGTGCCGCTTGGATGACTCCCCTGCCTCTTCCACCCCGATGTCGCGTGGCCTGCGTCTTCTCCCCACATTGACGCCGCCATGGCTCCCGCGCTAGTTCTATCTTCCTCGCTCAACAACCCTACATCCAGATCTACTTTCGCAACACTCAGATTAAACAACTGCAACATACGTCTGAAACATATGAAATATTTGGAACATACATTTACAACATAACCATTATAACATATGCAACATCCAAATAAAACACTTGCAACATGCGTCTGAAACAGATGAAACATTTTGAACAAACTCTTGCAACATACATGTATAGCCATTATAACATGTGCAGCATCGAGAAACTACCATTGCAACATCCGTATGAAACATCTGAAATATACGTCTGAAACATCTGAAATACTTGAAATATGCATTTTGCAACATAGGGAAAGTCGAGGCCGGTCGATTCCAGGCATTGGGGTGGAAGCCAATGGCGAGCGGCGGTGCGCGAGCGCCACCAGCACCAGCACCAACAGTAGCGCACGAGCACCACCATCATCAGCACCACTAACATCGGCCTTTGGCTCAGCCGACCAGGCGACTCGCGCGATGGGTGGGAGCAGGCTGCGCACGCGACGGGAGGGAGCAGGCTGCGCGTGCGACGAGAGGGAGCGAGTGAAGCGGATTGGGGCGGCAACAGCCAGGGCGGGGGTGGGTCGGTTTGTCCACGGACGGACTCCTACATTACAGAAGATTATTTTTATATATAAAAAAAAAAGAAACGAGCAGAGGATGGGTACGGTTGTACGGATCGTACCAATAACCGCCCAACGGATCTGCTATATAACTGTTTACCTAGCTAGATGGATGGGTACCGTCGTACGGATCGTACCAACAGCGCGCGCTCAGCGTGGTTCGTTCTCCCATCCCACATGGAGTCCCGGGAGGTGAAGGCCGAGCAGCGGCAGCAGCCCGTGACGCCGAAGAAGCGCAGGAGACCGAAGCCGGAGAAGTCCGCGCAGGCGGACGGCGGAAGCTCCAGCTCGGCCGCCGAGTCGTCCCCGCTGAGTAGAACGTCGTCGTCGTCACCGCTGAGCAACGACGCTGACGGCAAGGGTCAGCAGCAGCAGCACCATCAACAAGCCGGAGGCGGGAAGAGGCCGAGGCTCGTGTGGACTGACGAACTGCACGACTTGTTTGTGAAAGCATACGACAGCCTTGGGGATGGTATGGTAGCATACTGTCACATGTTCTAGCTCGTCTTGCTAATTTAATCTTGATTCAGCAACTAGCGAAGGTCTTGACCAGGATCTATCCTGTGAAACTTTAACCAGCATTCACTTTCAAACTATTTACTATTAGCCTATGATCATACATACATTTGTGTAGATTTAGCTTGTACCTACTTTTATGATCTCATAGATCTATTAGATGTCTGGATTATCCTCTATATATATATGGTACAGTATATAAGCTACACTCTGTCTGGATTATATATAGAGGCTGTGCCCAGGAGAATATTGGAGAAGATGAACGAGAAGATGAACGTTCCTGAAGTTAGCAGAGAGAAAGTTGCAAGCCACCTTCAGGTGATTACTATACTAGCTAAATGCCTCTTTTTATTACAAACTAAATTAAAAACTGGATATTGCACCTTTTTTACTGATATAAGATCGGTTCACGAACTGCATGCAGAAACATAAATTGCATCTGAGACGTCTAGCTGAAGAAGCTTCAAGTGATTCCCCAACCAAAGAAGCACCGGCGCCCTCCCACCCTCTGCGTTCCCTTCCTCCAAACACTCGTTTGGCAGAGGTGTCTCAGGCACAGCTGGAGCTTGTGCAGGTACTCCAGCAGACACCGCCGGATTGCTTGAGCAGAAGCAGCAGCAGCATTGGAGCAAACCTTCAGATTGTACAGTCGATCAAGCAGCAGCTCTGTGGACCTCCCATCAAGGAAGGAAGACAAGCACAGCCTGCTCAAACGATGCAGCGAGTTCCCGCTGATTCAGGCTGCTCTCCCGTAGGCATGGAAACATCAACCGCAGGTACTGACGACTGATCTAATGTTTGGTTCTTCTTGCTCCCTAGTACTCTCTCTCTCTCTCTCTCCCTCTCCCTCTCAAAGATGCAATCCTCGCTTTCGAGTAGTCAAACTGTTTTAAATTTAATGAGACCTAGTATATACAAAAGATACTAGTAACATATGGTACCAATTCCAAAATTGCATCTTTCTGGACGGAGGTTGGATGATGTTTGAGTTGCATTAATTCTGGATTAATTATGCCATTATTATATTGTTGTTGTTCTTTGTCATCCGTAGCAATCTTGGTTCCTGAGGCCAACACAGAGGAGGCAGTGACACGCATGGCGCAGGCTGCCAAGGCTGAAAACGCCGCGGAACCAGAAGAAGCGGCTCCTCGTCCTGGCAGCATTCTTGGACAATTCTGGGCGGTAGGAATTAAGCGATGAACTATATCATCTAATTGTTAATCACAATTGCTACTAGATTATTGAGGAAATAATTGTGATCCCACGGTCATTGTATTGTAGAGCCCGGATAACGAAGCTTCCACTTCTTCATGGGACATCTTCGGGCTCTCGCGCGGGACGTCACCGAATGAATAGCAGGGCGTCTGTGCCAACGGCGGAAGTTGTGTTAAGCAAGTGGTAATAAGAAGGCCTTCTTCATGGACAGGGAGGGCCTCGGTTTGCTAGCCAGTGTAAGCAAGCGGTAATAAGGCCTTTCGGTTGGGCTTTTTTATGTCGTGGACTCGTGGTCGGATCTTTCATGTATATTTTTTTATTCTTTATTAAGGACGTTGGTTATGTTATGTGTGGAGTCCAATTATTGCCATTTCTCGGTGTTTGGAGAATTTTGTTTCAATTTTATTTAAGTTTTACCCTTTGTTTCGCGTTTACTATTAGGAGTGTCGGGGGGACCATTATTAGGGATACCTATAAGAAGAAAGATGATGGCCACGAACGCTAACTCGCCTGGATGGTCAAGAGCGTATTTTGTTCTTGCCCGATCCCGAAGGTACGGGCCCCGTCCCGCCCGACCCCGAGGGTGCGGGCTCCGTGTCGCCAGACCCCGAGGGCGTGGGCTCCGTCAAGCCCGACCCCGAGGGCGTGAGCTCCGTCACGCCCGATCCCGATGGCGCAGGCTCCGTCTCGCCAGACGCCTCAAACTGGACGTAGGGACATTCCGCATGTATCAGTATAAACCCTTGTGTCCTCCGAGCACACCATCTGAGCCAGATGCGCAAACACAAATTTATTAGTCGGTAGTTCGAAACACCGACAGTTGGTACGCCAGGTAGGGGCCTTTTGCGCGTCTCGTCGTCCGCAACAGGCCACGGATGGCTAGCCACGGCGTCAGCTGGGTCCCGGGCGCGCACGTGCGCTTCGGGAGCCTGGATTTCTTCGTCACCGTGGAGGGAGAGCTGGCGCGGGCTCCCGCCCCCGTCCAACTTCTTCGCTCCAACTTCTTAGGTGTATCAAAGACAAAGGGAAAACCCCCTAGTTATAGGGGAAGGTGGAGCGAGAGGCGAACCATCCGCCTGGATCGACGCGCCGGCCGCGCCTCGTCACTTCGCATCTCCGGAAGTCATGTGCACTCCACCCTCGGCCACCCCCTCGAAGGGCGTGTCGGACGACGGTTCGCCCCTCGATGGGCCGAAAACCGCCATAGGAAAGGAGGGATACAAAGCTGAAAACACTCTCATGGCCCATTAAGGCCTAGGAGTTCGAAGGTTGGCCCATCGACGGGTTCACAACTGCTCCGGGGCACCTTTAGAGTGAGGGGTGGTTAAGGATGGGCTCGCTAGCAGCCAGCACCCGAGTGCACGAGCGCCACGGGCATCCCAACCCATGTTCGAGCCCTTGGGACCGGTCAAACAGACCCGAGAACTATATGGACTGGCCGTCAGGAATCTAGAGTTGATCACCAGCTGACCCCATGCCGGACCCCCACGAACGGGAAGCCGAGGCCCCACTCAGACTAGCCCGTTAATAACTCACCGAGCACCATGATTAGTCCATCGAGGAAAACATGACACGGCTCAGCCCCTCCATTTTTATCGAAAAAATGCTTGAGGGAGGACGACCACAAGACAAGCTGACCCCTCGCCCGGACCCCTGCTATGAGCGGGGGCTCGGGGGAAGTCGGACTCACAAGGAGACCGAGCACGCGGTCGCATATCAATGACAGATCGATCGGATCCTAGGGAGGGGTTGGAATCAAGAGAGATCTTTTCCGACCCCCCAAATTCCGTAGTTGCATGCCCCCGAAGAGTCCGAATGCGACAGAAAGGAATCGCGACCCTACCAAGACATCCCGCGGCCCGCAAAGGGAGATCAAGACCCTCAGAATATTTCCGTCTAAAAAAGCCTTCGAAGGAGTATCCTACTCCTTCGTGGGCTCGAGGGATTCTATCGGGTATTAGTATTAGGGATACCTGTAAGAAGGAAGCTGATGGCCACGAACGCTAACTCGCCCGGATGGTCAAGAGCGTATTTTGGTCTCGTCCGACCCTGAAGGTATGGGCTCCGTGTCGTCCGACGCCAAGGGCGCGGGCTCCGTGTCGCCTGACCCCGAGGGTGCGAGCTCCATGTCGCCCCACCCCGAGGGCGCGGGCTCCGTCACACCTGACCCCGAGGGCGTAGGATCTGTCTCGCCCGATCCCGAGGGCGCGGGCCCCGTCTCGCTAGACCCCTCGGGCGTGGGCTCTGTCATGTCTAACCCTGAGGGTGCGGGCTCCGTCTCATCCGACCCCTCGGTCACGGACTTCGCCTCGCCAGACCCCTCGAAGGGAGATTTCGCCTCGCCCGACGGGGGTTCGTACCGCCTCCAACCACTACGGGTCTAAGAGTACGAACCCAGTGTCAAACTTCTGACACCAGAAAGGGAGTAGGCGCGTCTTGACGTGACCCGCGACCACGACGGGCCATACCTGAGGACTCACGTCACCAACAGTGTTAGACGTGCTGGCGCTATGCAACCTAATCCCCGTACGACTTCCGACGGGGGTATTTGCTAACCATGCCGCCCGCCGAGATGGAATGAAGCGCCACGATCGGCTGACGACGCCCACGTATAACACCATCGATGAATAGGATCGCGACGTGGAGCCGTCCTCGTCATCATCTACAGGACCGGCAGGACCCGCGTAAAGGAGATGAAGGGCGCCGCGACCCCGGAGGCCTTCTTCCTCCTCGCTTTCCTCTCTCTCTCTTATGTAACCTGCGCCTTCCCCTTCAACTATAAAAGGGGAAACATGACACCCCACGAAGGGCACGGCTCAACGCTGCATGGCTCAACGCTGAACGGCTCAAGGGACTGAGTCCAACTAGACTCAACTCCATTCGATCCTTCCATCAGAGACTTGGGACCTTCTCTCTTGCCCGTTTATAACCCCTCCTACAAACAAGTGCCAGTAACACGAATAGCCTCAAACTGTATGTAGGGATATTCTGCTCGAACCAGTATAAACTCTTGTGTCCTCCAAGCACAATATCCGGGCTAGACGCGCAAACATAAATTTATTCGTCAGCGGTTCGAAACACCGACAAGGAGGAAGGCTCTTTGGAGAACTTTGATTTGCCTGTTCTGTGAAACAGGGCCGTGGGTGATCCAGTACCGAAAATGTTGGTGGTCAACAAGTTGCAACAGGCAGGAGCACTTGAATCTCACCAACGCCGTGTCCCAATCCCAGAGCAGAGCTCCATCCTGTATGTATTCCTGTGCGCCGCGCGATTGCCCCAGCTGCCGCATCGACGAGGCGGGCAGGCGGGCGGCGTGGGCACCGCTGCCACTGCCAGCGCTCGCGCCCGGCCCAGCCCCAGCTCGGCACGACGGATGCGCTGTAGTTTCGAGTCCCCCATGCGGCTGCAACCCTCTCACTGTAGCAGCAGCTGCTACAGTGACCTGTAAGGAGGCCGTTTGCTACCGCCGATGAAGTTTGGTACGGGGGTTGTGTTTTATGATGCGTTAGAGCAAGGCCTCTTTGGCACGGCTTATACCGGCTTCGGCTTCATCTATTTTACGTAAATCGAGGCACTGTAGCGTGAAACCGTTTTGTAAGTCAAGATTAAAATGAACTATAAATCGAAAAAACCCAGTTTTTCTGGCTTTACCAGTAAAGTCGTTTTGGATAAGTCGTGCCAAAAGGGGCTCAACTCGTTCTTACTTGAATCTCTTTTAGCTAAATCGTAGACAAAAACACGGCTGACCTCTAAAATATAGCTCCAGCGGGACCTACTAGTAAAGCCCCTAATTTGGGTTGGGCACCCAAAACTCGCACATAGAACCCATTCGTGTTGGCCCAACTCCACGGCCCCCATCCGACTGATTCCAACCCGCGTCATACGGAACCGCGAGCACGACCGTTTCCCCCCGCCAGCGCGGCCTCCCGCCCGCCCGCCTCCCCTCCGGCGACGCGCACCGCCTGCCCTTCCCTGCGAGCTCGTACGGAACCGCTGGCGGACGGCCATGGCGCACCTGCTCGCGGATGCGGACGGAGGTAGAGGCGGCGGAGCACCTGCTCGCGGACAGCCATGGCGCACCTGCTCGCGGATGCGGACGGCCATGGCGCAACTGGCCGCGGATGCGGACGGAGGTGGAGGCGGCGGAGAGTAGGATGCGGACGGAGGCGGATGCTCGCATACGCGGACGGAGGTGGCTGCTCGCGGATTCCGACGGAGGCGGCTGCTCACGATCTCGACGAGCGGAGGTCCGTCTCGAGCGCATCTGGCCTGCCCGCCGTGCTGGCGCTGCTCCGATGTGCGGCTCCCTTCCCCCTTTGCGTCCGGTCTCTGTGTGGGGAGGGTTTGGGGAAGAAATATTTGAGGCAATGATGAGTGGGTCTCCATTGCCATTGTCTGTCAATTTGGATTTGGGGCCTTCGTTTGGGGTGTCGTTGCAAAATTTTGAACACCAAAAAAAAATAGTGAAGAGCATCTAAATAAAAAATAGAGGCCCTATTTTGGGCTACTGCTGGAGTCAGGTCTTATGGCTACTAAGGGCGTCCCTAACGGTGTCCAGCTCAGCTAGCTAGTAGGAGCACCAGGCCAATCAAGAGGAGAGAGAGACAGAAAATCCACAGCGCTAGCGAGGAGGAATTGCTTAGCTCTCACGTTGCTCGAGAGTTTTCAAAGTCTCAGACACCATTGGCCGATGGATAAGCCTGGCTAGGCCAACGGCTGACTGGGTGGCACGGACGCCGCACGGCATTAGTACAGTACACATGCTAGAAACATTGCCAGACCACCGTCGTCACATGTAGCAGTACCTTGTTTTGGCTGGCTACCTGCTAGCTAGGCAAAGGCAAGTTTTAAGCTCATGCTTGAAATCTATGAAAATCTTACCAGGTACTGCAACAGTTATTAGTATAGTACTTGAGGAGCACCGAAATCTATGCCAAGATCAGGTCTTGAGTACTACTAGACCGTATTTGTGTACGGCCGAGCAATAGTGCAATACTCCCCCTCTTTAGAAAAGAACGTAATTATAGGAATCGTACCGGTTAAGTTTAACTAAGTTTATAAAAAATAGTATTAATATTTATGTCTTCAAATAAATTTATTATAAAAATATATTATATAACTAATGTAATAGTATTTATTTTATCTCATGAATCTTAGTATTTTTTTCATATAATTTTAGTTAAACTTTAAACTCTTAGACTCCTTAAAATGTGATAATTGCATTTTTTTTTTGACTGAGGAAGTACTAAATTTTGCATTGTTGATAACAAAGTATTGATGCTAATAACCTCCACATTTTGCTCTTCTTCATCACTGAAACATTTTCACTATGGTTGCATTTTGCACTAGTATAGCAGACAAACTAGACACAGTCTGTTATCCGCCAGACTTGATGATCGAATTGTGAATGAAGAACACAGGAACCGAAATTTACGAAGAAGAAATGCTTGTGAGACGCAAGAAAGTTATTACAACTTATTACAAGTCGCGACATAAAGAGTAAGCAAGAAGAACAGTACATGTTTCTTCTGCCGCTCAGGCTCAAACAGCCGTCGGTAGCCGTAGCGTGGCGGCGGCGGCAGGCGCACCGGCGCCGTCGCCGGCGGTAGTGACGGCGATGGGGAGAGGCCCGCCGCGCGCGAGGATGGACCTGTAGATCTCCACCAGCACCTTCTCGTCGTACTCCTTGAGCTGCACGGCCGTCCCGTGGCCGTGGGTCGCCGTGGCGCAGTAGGGCCCGCCGGCGCCGTACCCAACGACGGCGGGGGAGGACGCCAGCCGCAGCATGGCGGACACGTAGGCGTCGCGGAGCCGCATGAGCCACCGGCGCGGCGACAGCGCGGAGAGCAGCCGCCGCCCCAGCTGGCCGCGCCGCACGCGCCACCCGCGGCGACGGCGATGGCGCCGGCCGGAGCCATCCTCCGGGGCCTGGGCGACGCCACGGCCTCCGAGCTCCGCGGTGGGGAGCGGCGGGCGGCGCTGCGCGGCGGCGGCGTCGATGCGGTAGTAGCCCCGGCGCTTCCAGTACGCCTTGATGCCGCCCTTGTAGGTGCGGTCCATGCCTTCCTTCTTTGATTGAGTGAGTGAGAGGTGGACCAAGCTCGCGTGCGTCAGAGAGAGCGCCTGTATGGAAATGGCGCTGTACGACGCGACGGTAGCAGAATGGGAGCAGGATTTAAGAAGCATGGGATTCCTCCTCCTCTGTCCTCTCTCTCTCTTTTTCCATGTGCAATGAAGCCCTGCAAGATTACCCCTATTTTCAAGAACCACCGCAAGGACTAGCTGAAGGAAAAAAAAAATTAAGTTCACAAAATTAAAAACAAAGATTTCCATAAATTGTCACACCTACTCGTCTGGTTTTCGTGACAAAAATTATGTTCCTGTTGTGCAAAACAAAAATCTTGCCCGTCTATCATGTGGTAAGTTTTATATATGGAGCTGAGTTTCAGCCAGAATCAGCTCTATTTTTTCAATCATGGAACAATGTTTTTGTCTCATAATAAATTAATCCTACAAATCAGCCACAGCAACAATAAATCCTGTCGAACAGGGTCTTAAGGTCAGGTAAGAGCAAGACTAAGGCCCTGTTTGGTTTCCATAAGTCAGGTGACTTATTAAGTCAGGTGACTGAAAACCAGTGACTTATAAGTCATGCTTGTTTGGTTGTAAATGACTTATAAGCTCATTAAAGGTGTGGGCCCCACGCGAAAAAGGGTGACTTATAAGTTTTAAGCAGGGGTGAACCAACTTAAAACTTATAAGCAGGGGTGACTTATAAGTTGGTGGTGTTTGGCAAAATAAGTCACTTTTTTCACTTTTTAACTTATAAGTAGGTGACTTATTTGGAACCAAACAGGCCCTAAAAATACGAGCAGGCTGCTGGCTGTAAGGATCTTTTCAGCCTATCTCTCAACCTACTCATATAGTAGTTAATTTTTCACTATTAATACACGACCCATTTGCCCCTCTCATAAATTTTTTTTTGTTCTCGTGTCTAGACCGGCTTGTACTTTGTCTAGGAAAGTCGAATGTTGCACAAGTACTGCAATTCTCTGAAAAACTTGTGCAAAAGAAAGTAATTACCTGATATTACTCAAAAGGGATTAGGCAGAGCAATAACGTTTTTTTTTGGTAAAAAACAATTAAGATGCCTTTTTATATATACAGACCGATGAAAAGAACGTATCGATGAAGTAGTCCACCCAACTTTGAAATAATGAACATCGATACTATATGACTACTGAAATGAGAAAATTGTGTAGTGTACTATTTCAGGTTCATTGACCGAATGCCCAAAATCATTTGCTTTGATTTTTTATGTAATCAGAGTAAATAATTACCTACATTGGTATGTACTACTTTTCTTTAATAAGGAGAAAAACGAGACTAGTGATGTCGATTTGATGTGTCCAATGTCTGACTTATGTTATGATGTTATATTCAGTACTTGCACTTGCTTGACAAAAAATAGTCGTCACTCTGTGATTTGCCCAAAAACTTTTTAACTAACAATAATTAGACAGTGCCCATTCTACTCCGTCATGAATACATACTAGTTAACATTTACCCATTTAGAGCATGTTTGAAAAGCGGGAACTAAGATTCATACAGGAATTTTACATGAATCAATTCAATTTCTCATGAAAAATATAGAAACAGGAAAAAAAAATCATGTTTTCAAAACAGAGCCGTAGACTGATTCGGACCAAGCGTTTTCTGATTTCGCTAGGGCTCGTCAGAATACGTGATTGCAAGCATACATGAAAATCGTATGCACAGACTTGTACTATTAAGCATATGTGTCCACATGCATATCTATTGCACGTCGTAACTCGTAAATATACGCTCGTAAATACATGTGCATGCAGGCCTCTGCAGGGACTATCTAGATCCGAGCTTTGGGTTTATGCATGGGACTGGGAGTTACCCCAAAGCTCTTCCCTTCGTTCTTCCGGTGAAAGGTGGCACAAAAGCTTGGTAGCGAATGAATAATGTTTTTCTTTCACAATAAATTAGTCAACAGTATTTTTAGCCTAATTTATCAGCCAAACGAACAGAACCTAAGTACTATAAAATAGGTGGCATATACTAGCATTGTATACTACTACGTAGGTGGCATGTGCACGTGACTAAGGCCCTGTCTGGTTACATGAACTAGATATTAGAGGCTAAAAGATGGACTAAATAATATGTTTGGTTCTAGGAACTAAAAAGGATTAAAGGGCTGAACAAAGATTAAAATATCCTTTTTTTTCTTTGATAGAGGTGAAGGAGGAGAGAGAGGAAGCGATATGATCTGTAAAGTTGGTCCATTAATCCTAAAAAGTTCATCTAAATGAACTAGTGGACTAGAGATTAAAAATCTCTCTAGTGATCTCTCCTATTTGATTAAAAAAAACTAAAAAATAGTCTCTAGTCCTTAGTCTCTAGAAACAAACGGACCTAAATATCCTGGCAACAAAATATTATAGGCCAAAACCTGTCCTGCGCATTGTCATTGATTTTGGAGAACACTACTGCTACTAGCGCGTGTCTACTGGTACTCTCTGCTGAGAGCGAACCAAGAGCAGGCTACGCTAACACGCGCGAATGGGCACATGGTTTTGCCGGCCACATATAGAAGTAGGCTTCGTCACGGAGCCATATCAAATCATATTTTTTTTTACGAAATTAAATAAAAATAATATTTATATAAAAATTATAGATCTCGACGAGATCTACAACTCTCTAGTTTTGAGTTTTCTCATTTAAAGTCGTTAAGATGCTAAAAAAAATTAATGCCATTTAGATTTAAGGGTATTTTCGACTTTTCACACCTACAGCTTGACGGTGTTAGAGCCCAAACTGACAGAAAGACAAAAAAAAAGTTAGAGCAATGACGTTGAAAATCACTGAACTTTTTCAAGGACACACATAATACAGACAGAGAATTCCCCCATGTAGAAGTAGGCTTCATCACGGCGCCTCTAGGTTTTGGTCTTGTTTAGATTGTAAGTTTTTTTACTCTCTTTCCATCATATTAAATCTTTGAACACATGCATAGAGTATTAAATGTAGATAAAAAAATAACTAATTATACAGTTTGATTGTAAATTACGAGACGAATCTTTTAAACCTAGTTAGGCCATGATTGAATAATAATTATCAAATACAAACGAAAATACTATAATATCAAATAGTGATTCCTAACCCCAATCTAAACCAGGCCTTCACCCTGGAACGTCCCTAGCGATTTTTGCTACTAGGTGTCAATTGAGGCGAGCAGAGCACCAGCGATCTGCATGCGATTGCAGGAATCTTGAATCTTCCAAGGGGTTACGTGCGAAGACGTAGGAGTAGCAGTGGTATTCGCATTTAAAGGATGGGAGGAACGGCGGTTGGATGTCTGCGTTCCCTCTGTCCCATCATTAATGGCGATCGGTGCGGTGCTGCCGTGCTGGTGCGCAGGCAGGCGGCCGGTGTGCAGCGGTGGCCCTGATCCGACCGAGCCGGCCGGGCCAGGAGGGCAGGAGGGCCTCCGCGTCCGACGTCCATGCGGATGCGGTGGCGCATGGGAATGGGATGCGTGCACCTGACCTGATCCGCGTCCGCTCACGCACGGGGGCTCCATGACCCGGATTTATGCTCCGGATGCTCCCAAAGGTTGGTTGGTTGGTGGCTCTGAAGAAACCACGCTTCCTCCGATCCGAGCGAGCAGCACCTGGGCAGTTCTCAGTTTTTTTTAAAGATGGTAAAAGCTTTGCCGCGGTTTCTATTAGATGAAAAAAGAAAAAAGACAAGTATCAATCTAGTTTTTTGAATAGAAACTGAACCAGAAAAACTATATAATTGTGGAAAGTGTCCTACTCATCACATACAACTTTAGAACAACTATCACGACTCACGCCACCACTTGCAGCTTGATTGAATTCTACCCAACTAAAACAACTTGGCCCAAGAAGGAAAAAAAACTTAACTAAGACGCCTCAACTAGAGAAGACAACTTGGAGGACCGAGCACCGAGCACCATCACTCCTGGGAGCATCGAGCACCATCACCGCAGGGGAAGTGCCATGACAGACGGCAAGAGATCCACAGCGGAAGCTGGATTGCCTATAAAGCCTTCAAGAAGAAAAAGACGCCGACAAGCTAGCCCGACGAGGGAAGGTTTTCACCTGTGAAATCCAGCGTGGTAAGAGGAGAAGTAGTAAAAGACGCCTCCAAGGAGGGCACAACGTCCGCAAACGCCGTCGTCCAAGCTTTCGTCCTGACCTCATGCCTCCTCCACACCCGCCGCCGCCGGAGTCCCACAGAGGTAGCCTGACGCTAGGAACCAACCCGAGCAGGGGGAAGGTAGGTGGCGGAGAGAAGAGGGCCAGGATCAGAAGAAGCCCACAGTCGCCCAGCCCACCACCATTCCCGACCCTTGCCAAGTAGCACCAGCATCAAACACCGTCGCGCAGAGCCTCCAGTAGTCCACGTTACGAACTTCCACCATCAGCACGCCGGGATCCAGCAGGGGAGCGCCGGCCCCGAACAAGAAGGCCAAGGCCGACCACAACCGCCACATCCGTTCCCAGCCCCACCAGCCCCGATGGGCGCCGCGAACCGGGGCGCCTCCCCCGATGCCGGTGGAGGCCGAAGAGCACCACCACTGACCCGCGCCGGCACCAGACGTCCGGAGGGGGTAGATCCGGGCGGGGACCTCCGGCGCCGTCCCAGGTGCCCTGGGCCGGAGTTGCTGCCGATGCCATGGGCCCGACCAGAGCCACCGCCGCCATGGGTTAGACCAGGGACCGCCGGAACTGGTGAAGAAGGAGCCAGAGCAACATGCCCCGCTCCTCCTGCCCCACAGGAAGAGTGCACGCGCGGCTCCGATGAAGAGCAGTAGCCCGGCGAGACGCCCGCCATGGCCGCCCCCGACACCACCGGCTCCTCCACTCCACCAGATACCCTGCCCCAGCCCGGAGGTGACAGATCCGGGCAGCTGGGCACCGGATCCGGCCATACCGAGGCCAAAGAAGCACCGCCGCCCGCCGCCCTATGCACTCCTCGTCGCCGACCAAGTGCTCCACCGTGCA